GGATTTTTTAAAAAATAATCATGTAACTACTATAAAAGAAAAATTTTTAAAGGAATTAAAACTAGAAGCATATACAATTATTTAGAAAGTAGAAATTAAAAAGGTAATAGAACAGATAAAAAAGATGTGATAAAGACAGAATTTTGAAAAAGGGGAGCAAAAAGTGGTTTGAAAACAGTGTATAATAAATAATTGAAGAGCAAGTTGAAGCAGAATAGCAATCGGGTTGAGACGTCTCTTAAAAACCTTTAAAAAAAAGGGAGAAAAGAGAAAAAAATATTTGAAACCTGTGTATAATTACTTTAAAAGAAAAATTTTAAAGGGATTAAAACTGGGAGGATATATAATTGTTTAAAAAGTAAAAATTAAAAAGGTAATAGAAAATACAACAGGTAAAAACAGATTTTTAAAAAGGGGGGAGGTGGGGGTGTGCTCCTGGAGACTGTGTGCTCTTAATGAGGTCTTTCTGTCTTAGCCCTGTTTTGCGAGCTCATTTTGCTGTGTCCAGAGGCCCTCCATTGGCGCCCTCGTCTGTGCTGCTTCCAGTGCCTGTCCGCAAGAAGATCGCGCCCCTTCCCAGCACAGCGCTCCTGCTGGAAAGGCGGCAGCCACCCGCCGTCTCCCGGCGCAGGTCGCCCCGCAGCTCCGCGCCGCCGCGCGCCCCGCCCCCGGTCGGCGCCGGAAAGACCGCGGAGCAGCCCCGCCCCTGCGCCACGTCCAAGCTCAGCTCCCTGTTTGTCCTGGCCGCGCGTACTTTGCCAGGCACCAGGGTGGAAGGATCCTATCTGACCCGGGGTGCAGACAAGTCGCTGTCCGGACTCCGAGGCTGCCGGGCCCCCAGGTGCGGATTCAGGTTTCGCCCCCGCCCCCACCCGGGTGCCGAGCGCCGGAGGACATGGTGGTGCGCCTGAGCCCCGCCTCTCCTCCCTGAAAACCTTCCCTGGGTTTTCAGAGCTGGGGGTGTGCACCCTTCCCCGCAGGGTGCAAGCGCTGTGCTGTTTCATGGAGGGACCGGTCCCACTCTGCTTTGCCTTTTCATCTTCATTTTTTTCCTTTCTCCTACCAGATTTTTGGCGTCTTTGTCTTTTGAAGAGGACAGTGTTCTGTCGGAGTTCCGCAGGTGCTCTGGTTGGCTGAGTGGGTCCGTGGATGTGAGTCCTGGTGCATCTGTGGGAGAGGGTGAGCTGCGAGTGTCCTTCTACTCCGCCAACTTGGCCTCCCTCCCTGCCTGTCCCTTAATCCTCAGTGTCCAGTTCATGAGTAAATCCTGTCTATTTCACCTCCAAATACATTTTCTCAAAAAAAAATCTACCTGTTTCTAAACCCACCTTCTACTTTCCATCTCTGCTGCTGCCAATCTAGCCAGACCATCCTCTGCTCCGAACGATGGTCGTTTTCTTGGTAACTTCTCTGCTCCCACTTTTCACCTCTTCTATCTGCTCTTCACACTGAAGTCAGAGTGATCCCTCCTCTTGTTAAAATTCTTCTGAAATCCATCCAAAACAAACTTCATCCTGACCGAATTCTATAAAACCCTCTGTGATACAGCACCATGATCACTGCCATTTTTCCTCACTCACTCTCCTCCAGATACACAATGGAAGGAAGTGTCCCTGAAGTTTTACAACTTTGAAAAATTGCTGACAGTAGGATGCATTGTCACCCTCTTCTGGCCACCTAACACAGGCACTGAGGAAACACCGGATTGTTCCAAGTTCCAGGAAATGAATTCACAGGAGTCTCCTTGCTTTGGGCTATTTATTACATGCTTGATTTATGACACCATGGAGGCCAGTGCATCAGGAAGTGTCAGAGAGGACTCTCAGGTCTGTAGTTCATGAAGCGCTGGCTGAAGGACATTCTTTGAGATTTTCTACTTTGAGACTTGACTGATTTCCAAGCTCCTTCTTATCTACAGGAGATGCACTGGCACAGAGCCTGGACAAAATACTAAGCAATTATCATAAATTCAATGATTTATTGTTTCTTCCTCCTATCTCTGATAATCCCCTATTGTTTTCCTGAATTTAAGTTTGTTTTCCTCCTTCCTAGATTTTCATCAGTAGGAGAATAGTGGATGTTTCCACTATTAGGCATCTGAAGGTTCTTTTCTGGGGTTGAGAAGAGCAGATCTCAAGTTGCATCGTTTCAGACCTTTATTCCCAAACGCCAGGGTGAGCCCTCGTCCCTTGCCTTTCCCAATCATAGAATCAGAACTGCATTTTCCAGATTTTCCTTCTCATTTGATGACCTCGTCTAATAGGATAATTCATGTTTTTTTCTGAGACTTCTGCATCTGCCCTCCTGATTCTAACTTACACAACTGCTTACCTTCCCGCTCCTTTCCCATCACAAAGCCCAAGACGATGTGATTACCTTCTCTTAACATATCAGCTCGATAATCATTCTTTTCTGTGGATCAGAGTTAAATCTGCCCTCACATTTCCAGTGGCCCCAGTGCCGACGAACCGAGAGATGGTGAGGGGTGGGTGGGGGTTGTATACGTGTACATGTGTAATTGAGCTCATGATTGAGAACTTATTCCTTCTCTGAGATAACAGTGAAATTAATGCTTTTAAAAAAATTTCTTTAGGGAAAAGGATGAAGTCATTCCAGACCTTCTTTCCTATCCTTTCCTTTTTTTTTTAAACTGTGCCTCCTTTCTGTTTTTTTAGTTTATTGCTTTCTTTATTTCTGCTTCCTCCATTCACACCTCCATCCTCTCCCAATTCTGCCTTGATCTCTGTATCCAGAGATGCCTTGATACTGTGCCTCAGAGAAGCTGGAGCTTCCTGAAATGAAACACTTTGTGTTCTTCCTTCTGGTTAACTTACAGAATGAATGAGCTTTCATTTCTATTCAGCTCATGGTGAAAATCAATGAGTAAACTGGCAATTTCATTTACAAATTGACTGTGGAACTTCAGCTATTACTCAGAGCCCTTCAGACATTTATACATATATAAATAAGCACTTAATCTTATAAAGCAGCTTTACAATTTTCACTTGGACAATATTTTATAAAACATTAGTTCAAATGGATCATCTTGAAAATGTAATTATGTGGTCATAAAAGTAAACCCTATTTTGAAAGGCAATCATTAAATCTTAGCAATCTGAGCATTGCTAAATATCAAGTTCTTCCTATATTAAGTAACATCTTTCATGATAAAATGTCCTGCCATCAACTTTTATTTATTTAGACCTTCTAATTGAATAAATTGAATCAGAGAAGGCAATTCATAGTAAGGGTTAAGCAAGGCATGACAATGGATGCATAATTTCCTCGGCATGGCAGCAAGATAACATCAAATGTACAAGAAAAGTTAATATGATTTTATGACATTAACATACATCATTGTAATGAAAAGAACTGTGAAGCTCGCTGGAAGTTATATGGCATTATTTAATTTAGATAGTAAGAGTTTCTTTCTTAGACGACATTTAGGATAAGAAAATGATTCTCCATTGCTACACAGCTAAAGGGATGGAAAGAGCTTCCTGCAGTTTATTTCAGCACATCTTTTGAAAAGAAACATTAGGTCTTTTACAAGTTTTGTTTTAATTCTGGTAACTCAACACAGACAAAAACCATGGTTTACCTAAGCTTTTCTTTTTATTGATCTATGGCTACTTAAAAGGCAGAGTTAAAAATTACACACATAAAAAATAATAAATGCTTGACCCAGAATGTAAGCCTGTGGGCATTTTCATACAATACCTGTGGGAGTACAAAGGCTATAAATGTTTCTAGAGGGAAATTTGGCAACATGTATCAATGCGTACAGCTATCAATGCAGCAGCTCCTGTTCTAAGAGTTCCTACCAAGAAAATAATACAAAATAGATGTAAAGCTATGTACACACATGTACACACACATAGATTCATCTGTGTAATATTCATTATATAAATGTTCATTATTGGGTTAGTCCTGATGGTCAGCAGATTATTATGGCACATTTATTCAATGGAATATTGGGCAACATTAAAAACTACCCTATAGATTCAAATTACATACCTTATATATATTTATATATATTAATATAATTTATTTATATATTTATATATATTTAATTATACTATATTATAAATATAATATATTTATATATATATTTCTAAGGGTTTAAAATCTATAGATAATAAATTCTATACTGCATGAGTGCTAATGATGTTTAAATAAATAATTGGGATCATAACACCAACTGCACATAAAAGATACCATTGGTTTGTAGAATTTTTTCTTTCACTTATTTCTCTGTTTTTTCTGCCTTGTTTATACATTATTTTAAAATTGGAAATGAATGAACACAGATCTTCTGCAACTTATGATGGGGCTTCCATCCCAATAAATCTATCATAAATTGAAAGCATCATTAAGTTGAAAATGCATTTAACACACCTAACCTAGCTCAGCCTAGCTTTACCTCAGTCACGCTTAGAACACTTATATGAGCCTACAGTTGAGCAAAATCATCTAATACAAAGCCACTTTATAATAAAGTGTTGTACATCTCATGTAATTTGTTGAATACTGTACTGACATGGAAAACAGAATGGTTGTCTGGGTCCAGAATGGTGGTGAGTGTATTGGTTGTTGACCCTCCTGATCACGTGACAGACAGGGAGCCACTGTGGCCGCTGGCCAGCATCCTGAGAGCAGATGGGATCACATATCACTGGCCCAGGAAAAGATCAAAATTCAAAATTCAAAGTGCGGTTTCTGCTGAATGCCTATCAATTTCACACCACCCTAAAGTCAAACCAATCATCAAGGTGAACCATTGTACAACAAGGACCCACTAGAAATGCTATTGCAAACGTTCTGGCAAGAGCTGATAATAACACACACATATTAGTGCAAACGTGTATATGCCCATTGCGTGCACTTGCCTTTGGTAAGGAAGCACGTGATCCTGAACTCTGTGTGGTCATGGTCAGCACAGTGGTTATTCCCAGTGCCACCCTGGCCGGAGCAGCATCCATATTGATCCAGAAGGAAACCCAGGACAGAATAACGATCAGGAGACTGGGGATGTACATCTGGATCAGGTAGTACCCCATCTGTCGTTCAAGATGGAATCGCACTTCTATGCACGTAAACTTCCCTAATTGGTTGTAAAATAAATGCAGCAATTGGTAAAAATAGGCCTCTGTTATTGCATGAAATGTCACAATTCTGTTTCATCATAATTTTGCCCTAAAAAAATTTGTTGTAATGAAATGGGATCCTAAATCATATGTGCAAATTGGCTTCTGAAAAATATTGTTCTTATTTTACTGTTCCAGGAAATAATATATAATCTTCTATGACTTCACATTTGATTAACACTTCATATTTGTCAAACTTCTCAAAGGTCTGTTACTTCACTTGATTCATGTCTACCTTTGCCACTTCTATTAAACACTGTTTGGGACAATTTGGGGAAAGAGGCTTGCGTCTAGAAGGAAAGGCAATCACAAAAGGCCCTGGAGCAGGAAAGGTGTGGTGTGTAGATGAGAGAGCAAACTGCTGTGTCCAGATGATAGTGTGAGGGGAGAGAGGGACAAGAGGGTTGGAGAGAGGGGCAGGGACGCCCCAAGTTAGTGGTGCACTGTTACAGCAGCCGACCACCTACACCAACTCCGACTTCTTAGATTTCTCTAAAAGTTGCGTATGATTGCTACTGTCCCTGGAGAGCTGAGCAAGGTCACTGGTAGTGACCTGCCTGCCCATGACCTTTGTGTTGACCTGTTAACTTTGAACTCCCTACTGAATTAGCCTTACCCCCGAGGTAAGAAAACAGCACTGACTTTTTCAGCAGATACTGTGAGTTAGTTAAGGAGATAAGAGATCGGAGACCTTGGACAGTCATCCTTTGGTATCCATGAGGGATCGGCTCCAGGACCTCCATGGATACCAAAATCCAAGGATGCAGGGAACGTGTCAATGCTGTGTAAATAGATGCCAGTGCCCAGCAAATTCAAGTTTTGCTTTTTGGAACTTTCTGGACTTTCTTTCCCAATTATTTTCCATCCCGGTTGGTTGAATGTTTGGATGTGGAGCCCGCAGACATGGAGGGCTGACTGTGCTGTGAGAGGTCAGGTCACAGTTCTGGAAAACGCTGAGCCCACAAGAAATCACAGTTATGATAAGAGCAGCAGCTGATGCCAGTGGGAGGCCATATATGGTCCACAATGGGGCAATGCCTCAGCTCCGGGCAGTTTAATGGAACTTGTAGGAGGAGGAAAGGCAGCTGGAATAGATACTGTGGGAACAGCCTGTGCCCGCTGAGAGATGTGAACAGATAATGTGAATGTACAAGTCTTTCAATCCTTGATATCAGTAACTGGATCTGATAATTAATCTCAAAGGTAAAAGGCTACTATGTCAGGTGAATAGCAGGTGCTCAGTAACAATGCCTTGCAACACATGAAATTGTGGCCAAAAGAAAAGTTTAGGCAAGTGAAGCCTTCAACAAAAGCAATCTCTTTCATTTTTGTTAGCAGACACAATGTGTACAGCCCAAGGAGAGTTAAAAAGTACATTTTATTGCTTACATAGAAATTAAAGGAACTTTTTCTGAAACATCATTACTACGTGCCTATGGGTTTTGGGCAGAAGAAAAAGAAATTATTTAAATATAATTGAACACCAAGCATCTCTCTGGTTCCAAACAAACCAATTATGTAACAATATGCAATGAGTCAAAGCTTCTGTAAGTTTCAAAGGCATCCATTCTCTGCTCTATGACTATAAAACGCATTCAGCTACAAACTGTTAGTAATTAACCCAGCATGATAATTAAGAAATATCTGAAACACAAGTCAGACGTGTAATGAAGAATACTCAACCCCTACCTGTGTTGTAATGTTTAGTGCAGTATCGTAAATCTTTCTCTTCTTTCAACAGAAACTGGGGCAAAGTCAGTCCTTCTGCCACTTGAACAGGTGCCTCATCTTGCCATTCAAAAATGAGGTCATTCATGGTGTACCCAACTAGGCGAAGCAAAATAAAGAAATATTTACAGCACAAAAGGGCATTCAGAAGAATGAATTTTTTTTTAAAATCACCTGTACAGCTCACATAGAATGGGGAAGACCCAACAGTGTCATCTTAACTTTACTGACGGAGCTATGCATTGCACAATTCCAGTCTAAGAAATCTATTCATATGGAATATTTATCAAATAATGGAAGAAGTTGTAGCAGGCTGATAGTAAGTACGACATGGCATGTGGAAACCTTAAAGGACAAGCACATACATCCTTCTCTTGGGACGGGGAGCTACTGGACTAATTCAACAATTCATGTTGATTCCCCTCCATCACATCTCCCCTCGCCTTTTCTCAAATTACTCAGGACACTTTCGCCAAAAGCTGAACTTGTTATTGGTTAGGAAATGACCTAACCTGTTACATCCATGGAGAGAACATGCCAGAATTGCTACTTTTCTTGATTGAATCATTAACTATTTTAGTTTAGGGCCTCAGCTTTTATGTCCTGGGTCCCGAAATAGACAAAAGGGTATTTTCGACAGAAATGTCTGCTATTCAGGGAAAATCAGAGTACAAAGAAAATCCACATGGGATAGTTTGTGGAGGAGGAAACTCTCGCACATACCATGAGCAGATTCAGAATAGAATGAAATAATGTATTTTGTAATAAGCCAGCTCTTTTAGTAAATTCAAATGTCACAAATCTACAGGAGAGGTAGCTAAGAAAAGCAGAATTTTATCATTTTCTTCCCTCCAAATGAGAAGCTGTTGAAATGGACACTTGAAGGCTCTGCAGATGGAGTGCAAGTGAAGGAAGCCTGTGGAGGAGGGCTTTGTCAGAATTCACAGCTGCCCTGGAGGTAGGAAGAGAGAGGACGGATGGTCTGGCCTGTGGGCTAAGTCAAGGGGTCAGATAAAGGAGGCAGAACTCTAGGTTATGAAGCAGCAAAGAAGGGAAACTGTCCCAAACGAGTTCCCTGGTAGCCGATGTTGCAGGGAAGAGGTTGTGTGCATGATTAGAAACTGCCGGCACGGAGCAGGTTCGACTGGACAGAGTGATGTGTATGAAAGGGAACCGATCACCCTGCTCCCTCCCCGGAAGAGGACGTCCTCGAAAGAGGACTGATCCAGCTGCAGTGGCGGTGACTGGAGCCAGACACCCATCCCCACCCTCCTGGCCCCAAGGCGCACCTCACGGCATCAGCTCCGCTGGCCATGGGGGAGGTGGTAGAGGGGCACCTGTGGGTATGTTACGGAAATGACAGGCCAGCCAAGAAACAAGCACCACTTGGAGGGTTGGAGTGCTCAGATGTATTACGCCGGCGGGCTCAGAGGGGCTTCTGCTCCGAAGCTCTGAGCACCTCCAAGACGTGCGCATGAGGTTTTACAGGGTTAATTACAAGCTTGGGGTATTTGGCCAATAGGCATGGAACAGCTTTAGCAACATCATTATCACCAAAGTAGAGGCAGGGAGGCAGCAAACCAACATTTCAAGGCCAGATATGTCTCTTTGAAAATCCAGCTGGCTAGCAAAAAAACATGAACAGGGAATCAGCAAACCAAAAATAATTAGCTCAGATTTACAAGTTAGCCCAGCAGAACTCAGATAAGTAATCCGACACTTGCTACACTTGGACTTGTGAGTTAGCTTGTTAGCCCAGCTGGGCTTTTCCTTCACAGTTAGAGGGCATCCTTGGACCGTCTGGGATTCTGCTGTCCAAGTTTCAGCAGCAGGACCATCACTGTGACGGCTCACAGTGGAACACGCACTGTTTGACAGAGGCGGTAAAGTCCTCCAGACTGAAGGGGACACGCCTGAATTCTGGTTTCAGAACAGACAGGGGAACTTGCAAGACTGTCCTCGAAACCCCTGGACTTAGCACAGCAAGGACTTCTGCTTGACTTGCTTACACAGGACACAGTCCATGGACACTGCAGTTACTGCTTTGGTGGCTAAGAACAGAAGGTTCTCACATTCATGCCTAAGTCTTTTGACACATCCAGCATAAATAACATTTGACCTAGAGAGAAAATAGATGCACGTCTCTCAAGGATCAAAAGGTAGAAAAATGGGCACTTATTCACTTTCAAGTAGGACAGTACCCAATCCTTCCACACGTGCAACCCCTGAAGTCCGAATATGCAGGGTATTTCCCAGTGTAGACGGATAAATGGAGAAATGAACTGAAACCCTGTTTTGTTTTTACAGCCTGAACTTTTATGGAGTCTCCTTTGAGAAGGAAGTAGGTCTCTGACACTCCCTCAGAGACGAGCCTTAGGTGGTCTCTGGGGCAATTTACCCGCCGCACAGTCAGCTGCTCTTGTGTCAAAGAATCACCCACACTAAGTGATTTCGGCCCGGGCATTTCATAATCAAATGATGCTACGTCCTGCAGGGCCATAAAATATGTAAGTTTGAAATCAGAAGGAAGATAGTGAGATGGCAAATTTAGGCAGTAACTTACAGGGTGTTCAAGGAAAACAGCCAGAGGTTAATTTTGTCTCAAGGAATCTTCAAACATAACTAAAAAATCAATATTCCTACACGGTTGGCAGTGTTGTAGCATCCTTGCACCCTTGGCTGGCAGAAGTTCATACCATTCTGAGAACAGATTCACTTATGAGATCAAGGTTGGGAGACGAAATGCCTTGTACCATAGTAAGTTTCCCAACCAGGGATACTTCACTGAGGGGACAAAGACATCGACTACCCCCTTCAGCCAGCAATTTCACGTGGTAGCTGCAGTGAAACGTGCAAACAAATGGCTCAATGCAACCAGTTGCTTCTTCAACTAGTACTTATTGAGCACTGACTGTATGTAAGACAACCTACTGGACTTCCGGGAACACGAGGGATTTTCAGCAGGTAGGAAAGAAGTGGCCTGGGAGAGGTACAAAGAGCTGTGTGCGTTCAGAAGAGGGGTCAGTGTCACTCAGAGGCCTCGTTCGAGGTGGATCTTGAAAAGAGACAGAACCTGTGTATAATGCGAGGGAAAGTGAGGTACTCAGGCAAAGGGAACAGTATAATTAGTTGAAAGAAACTGCAAACTCCCAAGGCTTACAATAGGAATAGCAAGAACTTCATTTTTCTAGAGCCAGTTTGCACGCAGAAGCATACGGAATGAAAAGATAAATTAATCTAAGACTATGTCAAATTTAAATCCCAGGTTGAAAATTTTGATTTTTAAAAAATTCCCGGTGGGCAATGACAAACAATTGAAATCTTTCGAGCAGGGGAGTGACATGGTAAAAATTGTGGTTTAGAAACATTACTGTAGCAGGATTCGCAAGGTCCAACCTGCTTTCATATTCATAAGACATTGTTCACCTTTTTTCATTGTGTTGACATTTGTCCAGATGGTGAAAACACAATGGGGAAAACTTCCAGCGCTTTAGCATAATTAAAGCACGCTGGTGGTTACTGTTTTCTTTACTGCCATGTCTTGCAGTGAAAACAATGCCACTTTTGTTTAAGAATGTCCTCGATCCTTGATGAAACAGTAACAATTATAATCTTATTAAATTCTGACCCTTATATAAATGTACTTATAATTCTGTGTATGGAAATGGGAAAAACGGATAACACATTTCAGCTGCCTATGGTAACACGATGCTTCTTTTAAGAAAACGCACTGGCGTGATTGATTTGCATATAAGCCAGCCGGTTTTTCTTGAAACACCATTTTTACCGAAAAAAATGACCAGCAATGTGGTTCTTGTGGTTAGGTAGATGTCTGATCATTTTCTTGAAAATAAAGCTAGTGAGTGAACCTATCATGTTGAGGGAAAAAGCCGACATTGTTGTTGCCAATGACGCAGGTCGAGCTTTCAATTCAACATCAGAATTTTGGAAAAATGTATCCCCAATACTTACAGATTTTTTTTCTGATGAGCCTGATGGTGATAGGAACAAATATGACCTTTTGATATTGTACAATGTCACGTGTCAATGTTGGAATATACTGAATAACTCATTAAGCTCATGTCTCCCAAATGACCAAAGCATGGTGTTAAAAGTCATGCAGAGGTAAAGGATCCACTCAAAGTTCAAGACCCACAAACAGAGTAATTTACAAGAGTGTGAAGAGTTCATTGCTATGGCTCCCAATTTCATATTGCAACTAACGTTTAAGGAACTACCAACTTTAGAAACTAAAGTTTTTTTTTTTCAGAACATAGAATTTCCTTCTTTCCAAAGGCTAAGTAGTATCCTATTGAATGTATGTGATACAGCTTCTTCATCCACTCATCCGCCATGCGGAGGTAGTCTGTTTCCCCACGTCTTGACTGCTGTGAACAGCGCTGCCACCACAGCAGCGCTAATATTCCTCCAAGGTCCTGACTTCAGTTCTTTTCAGTGAATATCCAGAAATGGGATTACTGGATCACATGGTAGTCCATTTTTAATTTTTGCAACACTATAGATACAGCTTGAGGAGAGGGTGTTAAGAAAAATAAGCCAGAGAATGTTCACCACCAAGAGTGAACCCTAATGCAGGTCCGTGGTCGTAACAAGTGTACCGCTCTGGGGTGGGGTGTTGATACCGGCAGAGGATGTGCGTGGAGGCAGGTAGGGGACAGGGTAGTGTATGGGAAATTGTTACTTTTTGCTCAATTTTGTTGTGAACCTTAAACTGCTCTTTAAAAAAAGTATTTTTTAAAAACCTCATCTACAAATCATTCAAATAGCACAAACAAACAAAAACAAACTTACTACTGAACTGTTGCCCAGGAATTAATTAAACTAGTTCATTAATTTCATATAGAATTGCTGAGTGCCTACTCTATATGAGGTCCTGGAACTACAGAATGCCCTGGCTCCAGTTAGGATGCTCACAGAATAGAAGGTAGCTGACAATAATACAGATAAACTAACAGACTGCGAAGAGTCTCACAGAGAAATAAGCAGGGAGTTCTGTATGAGCGCAGGAAGGGGTTACACGAAGCTGGAGAACAGGAGAAGGAGAATCAGGTAAAGTTTTCCAAAGGAATGACTGTAAC